TGTTTCCAGGGACGGGGCATCCACCACCTCTCTGGGCAACCTCTTCCACTGTTTCACCACCCTCAGCATAAAACATTTCTTCCTTATATCTAGTCTAAATCTACAGCCCTTTAGTTTAAAGCCATTCCCCCTTGTCCTGTTGCAACAGGCCCTGCTAAACAGTTTGCCGCCATCTTTTTGATAAGCCCCCTTGAAGTAGTGCTAGGCTGCAATAAGGTCTCCCCGAAGCCTTCTCTTCTCTAGACTGAACAACGCCAACTCTCTCAGCCTTTCTTCATCCTTCTCTTGTTATCATGTCCCAGAACTGCTGTGCCCCGGTGCTGGTTCCTCTCTGCCTTTTTCACTGATGGCTTGATGCCAGTGAGTGCTTTGCACCTCCATAGTGGACAGGTTAGGCAACATCTTACATGTCCTCCTGTATACTAAGCCACATGTAACTATCAGATGTAGGAGTTATGTCATCTTCTCAAGTTGCATAAATTAATTTTTTACTCTGGAGGACTTAAGGGTCTTATGTGCACCTCCTGTGGAGTTAAGATGTTTTTGCTGGAAGTTTCTGTACCTTTTTATTTTCTTTATTTTTTAACAAACAGAGCAAGTGTACCAATTTTACTCATTCTTACATCTACTAAGGCTGTAGGAGAGCTGGCATTTCCCATTATGAGTTCTGGGCTTAGCTGCTGTAAAGTCTTAGTTCAAAGAACAACCCTGATACACACACAGGATCACGCAACAGGACTGGAACTGAGTGCAGAGGAAGAAGTTAAGAGTAGCTGATGAGCTGGGGTCTTGGGGAGGCAAATGCAGAAGGGACAGGGCATGGCCAGATGCATGCCACAGGGGACAGGAGCAGCAGGTTGGGAGCCCGGCCTGTGCCTGCCCTTCAGACATCTCCCATGGCGCAAGGTTCCTAAGTTAGTAATTATCTGACAGTTGCCAGCTGATTTCTAAGAAACGTACTGAAAGAAGTATGGTTCTATCCCCCATGTTGGCGGACAGCTACAACTGGAACAGCCAGTTACTCCATTAGTTTCTTTACTCAGTAGCCTCAGTGGGATTGAAACCAGGAGGGGATCCATGCAGCTCTGTGTGATGGAGTGTGGAGGGAAGAGTCAAGAAACATTTAAAACAATTCCAGCTATGAATGCCTTGGAAATGACATACAGAAAATTCCTTCATGAGTGTCAGAGTTACTAAAATAAAAGTTTCAGGTGCCCCAGCGTGTCCTGCTCTCTTTAGAAAGGTTCTTGCCATGCCATCTTCACGGTACCCTGTATTGTTTCTTAATAGGTAAAAAATTAGGAAGTTTCACAGTACTCTGGAGTTGAGAATTTTGGCTCTCTGGCGTTTTTCAGTGGGAAGGTGAATCTAAGAGACAAAGCAGCAAGCCATCCAGTCACTGCAATGCCTGTTTTAGTCTCTGGAGCATCTTAACATAGCTGCAGTGGGATGGGGCTTAGTCACAGCTGGCTTAACCGCCTAAGTATTTAGCTTCTCACAGAGGTTTGCCAACCAGTCCTGACTTATATCCTGCTGTAACGAAACCCCTAATAGTAGTTTAATTAAAGCAGAGGTCTTTTGTGCATAGTGGTTTATCTCTATAAGGATCATGCAAAGTCAGCATAACTGGAAGATGGACATGTTCTATATTGAGAAACTGCTAAAAAAAAAAAGACTGTCTTAAGAGTCAGGATGGCATAAAAATACTGTCTAAACCTTAGTGAGGGAAAGATGAGTTCCTGTTCTCCATTTCAAAAAACAAAGCATAGTGTATGTACGCTGTAATACTTGTTTGATAGGTTTGAAGTGAAGAACACCTTTTTCACACAGCCTCTGATAACTATATTACAGACAACTTTTGAAACGAGTAATTTGTTCATTAATTAGAATGCAACAATTTGCATTCTGAGTAATGAGCTAGGATTAATAGAAGAAATAAAGGTGTTTCTCCACGAGGTGCACTGTTCTTCCAGATTGCAGTACGATGCAGAATTGTATCTGTGCTCCAGGTCTGCTGACCTGTCCTGAAGTAAAACTCTGTCCATGAACACAAGTCACTGGGCCAAACTGCTAGAGTAATCTGTGCAAAACAGATTGGTTTCTACCTGCAGAATCTGTTGGCAGACTGAGGCAGTCATGGGCCCATGTAGGAGACACGGCCCTATCAAGTCACTCAATGTGAGTATGTGGCTAGGTTTCACTCCTGGCCTTCAGGACAACTAGTTGGCCATTTCTACTTGATACTGGACTGTAATTTTAATCTTGAACACTGGGCTGTGGATAGAGTGGAAAGAGAATTATTCTTCTGGCATGTGAAAGTTCATAAATAGGAAACAAAAATACGTCTCTGAAAGCTGGTTTTTTTCATAATGCCTGTGTTTTTTTTAATAATGCAGTATTTCTTGGGAACATGTCTCCAGATGGTAAGGTAGTGGTTTTTCATGCATGTTTTTAAGTCTTGAAGCTGATTGATGCATGCGTGAGTTGCATTTCTTGAAACTAATAAGGTGACTCATGGGAACATGGAATAAGAAAGGTGAATGGATTTCCAAGTTTGAAACTGGATGACTATGAGAGATGCAGTATGTGCTATTCTTAGCAAAGATGCTGAAAAAAGGAAAAGCGAGCAGTTCACACACAATCTCTCCATGAATATTTGTTTAACTTTTGCAACCCACTGCTTGAAGTGTAAGATCTTTTCGTTTCATGCAAATCTAAGCCACTCACAGCTTCAGCAGAAAAGCATCACTGCTTAAAAAAGTCTACTGTGATAATTTAACTCTTCAGCATGATAATGCTTTATGGGTTTAAGAAATTAGGTTAGTTCATGCACAGTAGGAAAGAGTGCAAAAACGATTCCAGTTGTAGGTGCTTATTGTAAATGCAGATGGTTTCTTCTTTAAATTCCTTTTCAGGGCAGTAATGCTAGTTTTTAACCTCTTATATTTGAGTGTAATTCAGTAAGAGTAACAGTGCCTTGCTCACTGGAATTTGTTGAGTCTCATGGTTTCTCTTGATACAGAAGTTATAAATCTCTTAAAAAGAAATATAAGCATGGGAAAGAAGATATGCTATAAATACCTTGCAGCATATAAAGAAATGTTTGTTGAGCTCAGTGGGGATGTATTGTTAGCAATAATCAGCAGTTGACTAAGCCCAGAAGTAGCTTGTCTCTGAAACAAAGATTGCAAGTGTTTGGTGGCATTTGTTTGTGGGGCTAAGCCACTTTTCCAAAATATTTGCATTCATTCACATAATGTCAAGAAGAAAAATACTTCCAGGTACCTCTTAATAACTACTGAAGCCCTAGAAAGCAGTCTGGACTTTGGAATTATTTAAAAAATGAAGCAGGGTGGAGAGGGCAGAGAGAGGCAAGATAATCAGATGATGTTGACTTACATTTTGACACTGGGGGTAGCAGCCAGCAGATCAGGAGAGAAAAAAGAGCGTAAGTTATCCCTAACATTTGCTAGAATAGCATTCTATAAATTGTTATGGGGCAAAGGATGTAGGTTGCACTTGAGTCTTCTGCCCAGCTCCAACATGACCTCAGATAATTTGCTTGACTACACTGCATCTCATTCCCTCCTGTAGTTTCTTGCTTCACAGTGACAGCTAGGTTTAATTTACTAACTGTATGTATAATGCCTGCACATTTTTTGAGGAAATAGCATAAATAACCACAAACTACTGTGATCATCTGCATCTGTAACTGTCTAAATTGAACAAAATAACAAGTAGACTTGTTATTATGAGACTTGTGCTTTTCATGTCTGTAAACCAGAGCGCTGAATGCAAAAGTAACAGGAACATATGTGAGACTTGCAGTGTTCGCTGAGGGATATTTACTCCATAAGCCAGTGAACAAAGCAGAAGGAATAAATCACAACTAGGACACTCTAATCAGCAACTAATAGAATGCTGTTCCACTATGTCATCCCACCAGGAAAACCTGTACTGACCTCTTGCCAGCCAGGAATTTGAAATTTCTGAGGGCACAGAACAGCTCTGAGAATTTAACATCTTTTTTTTTTTCCCCCCACACTTATGGTACAAAGAAAATACATGCAGTGTCTTTGCTTTTACTCTGATACCCATAAACCCATATATATATATAAACCGGCACATATGTAACACACTAAAAAAGAATTTCTTCTTTTCTCAGGATTTTTCAATTTGTGATCATTAAACAACTCTGAAAATGGGATTTTTGTATAGCTGATTGCAGTAATTGCACAAGAAAGTGAAGAGAAGAAATATACCAAGAACTACACAGTTATCAGTGATGTTTGGAAGATAGTGTTGAAATTGGAGAGTCATTCTAAAAGACAGTTAGACTTTGCCACCTCCCATCAGAAGATCTCATGTCATGGAGGTGAGAAGAGGGAGTCAGAGACTGGTACCAAAGGCAAAGCAGAAACACTAGAACAGGGAAAAGATCTGGTTTAAATATTACAGTAGTAAGGTAGTCTTAAAATAGATTTTGGATAGACAAGAGACGTGCAAAAGGAGTGGGTGTAGTAACACAGAAAAGAAAAAAAGAGCTAATTACTAGATTTCTTCAAACATACATCTGTCATGCCAAATTCAGCCACTTTTCTCTGAATTTTCTGGCATCTGAAATAAATGTTGATATTCTGGCTTCTCCCATTTAATACTGCCTGTCTCCCTAAATACCATCTAAACACATCTTCCTGCTTTGTTCTTCATTTTTCCTCTTCTCTTAAGATATTTGTGACAGATTTCCACCTCTTTCAGGTGAAAAACATTCTGACAGAACATAATACATACATATGTTTAAATACTGACTTTGGGGTTTTGTGGATATTAAGATTTACAGTTCCTTAATGTCAGCTTTGACTTCAAATTTGCTTAGGAGCTCTGTGCTTCTCGGGAAAATTAACCTTCATTATTTACCACAGGGTTCAGTATTAAAGCACATATTTAATTCTATAATTTTATTACTGTCATGCACATATGCTGATTTTATGTCAAAATGATTCCTTTGAAATCAGGAAAATACATTGTAACTTCCATCTTTCTTTAAAAAAAAGAGGTAGAAAGGGGTTACATCTATTTACTATGCCAAAGTGGGATATCAATGCAGTACTGTACGCAGAAATTTGAATTAACATCATTGCTGGGATATAGCTACATTATTTCTGGTCTACTTTAAGGCGTTGCATTTAGTTGCATCATCTGATGCTTCAGCAAATGCTCTGAACTCATCAAGTGGCTGATGGATGTGTTTGTAAAGGCTTGGATGGTCACTTTATACGCAACGATAAACTCGCTGTTGTACTTAATGAGGTCAGTGAAGTAACCAGAAAAGAAATATATAATTCTGTAGCATGGGTCTGTAAGCATGGTACTGCCTAGGCTTTTTAAGTTTAATGAAGCAGCTACTCAGCCTCTGAATATTCTTGTTGAACAGTCTCAGCATGGATTTTAAAACTAAAATGTTGCTGATACCATGGTCTCCTTGGAGAGTCCGTGGCTCTTATTCTCTTAAAAAGCCTGCATCTTTTATGTGTTAATGGTTTTGAGATCAGCCATTTGCTTCATTTTCGTTGTAAATAAGGGCCAGAGTCTGATTTTCTTCCCCATTCTCTGAACACTCTATCCCCTGTAAGCTGTCTCATCAGCCTCCAGTTCGCTCTCTGGGGTATGCATGGTCTGAAAATAGCTGAAATAATCCTGTAAAACAAACACTTTGCCAAGCATTTTCCTATTTCAGATCCCTTTCTAAGAATATAAGTCCCTACGTGAAAACTTGCATGGCACAAGTGGTCCAGCACCCCCATCACATCCTCACATGCTACAAAGTCTTACTGCCAAAGATGTCATTCAGGAGACTTCAGAAAGTTAGCACTGCCATTTGCTCAAATCTAATGAGATCAAATTACAAGATTTCTTTTAAAACCCAGAGAAATACCTCTGTTTAAAAGAGTGGATTAATGTTTAATTTTTAAAGACTCTGTTTCCTGTGAGGTACTGGTACTACACAAGTAACAGTGGTGTCTGATGCAAAACACTTTTTTTGAAGGTTAAATGCAGTGCAGAAAAACGTGCCTGATTTCAACATGCGAATATCATAGTAGTAACCTGTAGCATTTACATATGACTGTAGCCAAGTGTCTCAAGGCATGCTAGGAAGTCTTTCCCCCCTTTTGCAGAGGGATTAATCCATCCCGTATGTATGCTGTTGGTGACCGACCTGGAGAGCAAGCCTGCAGGCACATAGCCTGGTGTTCTGCCTGTTGAACCACGCAGCCTCCTCTCACCGACAAGCATACTCAGCAAGGAGCATCGTACGAAGGTATCAGGAATTTATGTTCCCAGGGTCTTTGTTACCAGCATAATCCTTGCTTTGCAGTTACCATGGTTGAAAGCCTCATACGAAATACACTCTAAGTGATGGGAGAAAAAGCAAAGCAAAGAAGACAGGCAGAGGCAAGCTGTGATTTCTACCTCACCTTGTGGCATAAGTTATTACTGCACGCAGGGTGTTACTAAGCAGGTCTGTGTGACAAAAGCCCTGCACAGGATTATTTGCCGGGTCCGTGCTCTGCCATGGGTTGGTGATGGAAGGCACTTTGCAGCAGTGGAGTGTTTTCACGGGGGATTTGGAGCTGATAGGCCACTTTCTCCTCTGATACATAGCTTTCCCCGTTGGTGGGCAGGGGCAGCCTTTCAGTTTAAAAGCACACAAGGTGAAGATTGTATGTTCCTTTGCAGCATTTTGGGGGGGGGGGCACAAAAAGGTGCAGTCTTTCCATTTATCACTCGTGACTTTAGGAGTCTGCAGAGAAAAAAAGCAGTGCAGAGCCCCATCTTGCTGTTTCTGAGATGTACAGACTGTTTTTCCGCGACACATAACGTTGTAAGCTTCCTCTCCCTGCTGAGCGGGTTTCGGAGGGCTGGGGCGGGGAAGGGGGGGATGTTTTTTCTCCCGCCTGGTATTGATCAGTGCGGCGGAGTTGCAGACAGGGAGGGATGTGCCCCTTCCCCCCGCCCCACCGCCAGTTGCAGACAGGGATGTGCCCCTTCCCCCCCCCTTGGGGGGGGTCGGCCCCCCCCACCCCCCCCATGAGGACGAGATAGATGGGGACCCGCCCCCCACCGCCATGAGGACGAGCCGCTGCAGTCACCTGCCGGGAGTCCCACCGGAGCGCCCGCGCCCTCTGGCACCCGAAGGCAAGACCCTGCCCGGTGGCAGTGGCGGCGGCCTAGCCGGCAGCTGCCCGCAGTATGTCATGCAGGTGTCGGCCAAAGATGGGCAGCTGCTCTCCTCCGTCGTGCGGACACTCGCCACGCAGAGGTACGTGGGGGGTGGCGGGCCGGGCCGGGCCCCTTCCCTGCGTGGGCTCGTGTGCACCCTCCCCAGCTGCCACCCGCAAGTCCCGCGGGCGCTTGAAGGGAAGATGTGGTGATGTGCTTCATGAAGGCTTACCACGGTGCAGGTGTAATTAAACCCTTGTCCTAACTTTATAATGATTATGCTACGTATGTAATTAAGCCCTCACCATTATACTCAGTGAAGAAGGGGGAAGCAAGCTGTCTAGGGATGCTGCTGCTTAAGTGCGCCAGCTGCAATAATTTGCCCTGATACGTAGCAGGAGGCTTTGGCAGGCGCTGGCTGGCACGGGATGCTGTCTTTAGCCTGTGTTCTGCTGCCAGCACTTCTGTGGCACGTTTCCTTCACACTTCACAAGCCAGCACGCTGAGCGGCCAGGCAAGCTATTTCTAGCAGAGGTGCACACACAAGTGTTGCTGCTTCAGCCATCGTCCAAGTGACTGAGAGCGGCTCTTTCTGCTGTTGGTTTAGAATGGCAGATTAGTGATGAAATATACATTTAAACTATACCCTTCAGAGCAGTACCCTGCTTTGGGTTGGCTTTATTTTAATTAGAAGCAAGAAAGAGGATGCTTAAGGGTTTGGCTATATCCAGGCTTGATACTTAGGTCAAAATTAAGTTCCACTTCATTGGTGTGAAGCTGGAAAGATGGCGCAGGTCTTGAAGTAGCCGTGGATTTTCACGAAACAGCAAACATAATCCAATCCACTGCACTCGTGTGAAGAGTGAAATTATTAACTGCTGCTGCATGTGCAATGTGACAGCCTGAAAGGGCCTTTTCCCCTTGTAGCAACTTTTTTAAACCCTGTGCATTTTGCACTGCTCAGATGTGTATGCAGAGCATCAAGCACAACTTCATACTGTTCTACCTCGCAGATTGAAAGGAGCAGGCTGGCTTCTTTACACTTTCCTGCTGTTACACTTGAGGGAGGTCTACCTGGGGCAGCCTGCAAAGAGCCAGAAGAGGGACAGAGGGAACAGCTGCGTGCCACCATACGCTATCCGATAGCAAGGTTTTGTCAGCGACAGTGACAAAACCTGCTTTTCTGAGGAGATTGCCTGAGATGGCGTATGTGGTAGGGAGAGTTTTTGGTCCCAAGACCTCAGCCAAGAGATCGACCTTCTCAGCCTTGGCAGACAGGGAAGCTGAGTTGAAGCTGCAGGGAAGTGGATCCATAGTTCAGCAGCACTGGTGCTTGCAGCCTGATCCTGCTTTCCTCCTGCTGCGCTAAGCCCGAGCACCCCGGGAAGCCATGCGACTGCTTTCCTCTTTCCTGAAAGATTCCTCTGTAAAACAGAGAATCTCAGTAGTTAAAATCAGAGTCTTTAGGCTTTCACTGGCAGGAGGAGCACCCATGCCCCTTTGCACATTAGCACCCCGCCACCAGGAAGGTGGGTGCTTTGGTGGAGGCAATGCAGGAGAAATAGCCACAGGCAGCAATGCGGGACGGATGTGTTCGGCACAGTCCTCCTTGTCAGTGCTGTTAATAGTACTCCTTGAGCTGCTCGTGGGGTGTTGTCCCAAAGAGAGGGAAACCCTCCCCAGGGACAGGAGCTTCCTGCCTGCACAGGCCTGCCTGAAGTTGGGGCCCTGCCTTCACACCGCTCCAGGGCAAGGTGCTTTTGTTTCAGGTCCAGTAGTCCTTTGCTGTTGATTACTGAAAACAGCTTACTCTATAGTCAGGGGATCATCACTAGCATAAGAGATGCTACCCTGTAGGTCAGGAGTGATTGCACAGATCATCACTAGCATAAGAGGTGCACAGCTGAGGCAGGTTTAAAACTTCCCTGATGCATTTAGAGATTTCTTGAAGTGTCTGCTCTGCTGTGCTGTGAAGAGGTGGGAAATACAAAGGTATAGAAACACTTAGTCATCTGTCTCTCATCTGCCACTCTGATGTGTTTTTCACTCTCCACTTTTTTCCCCCCACAGAAGAGAGATTTTAAACAAGAATACCAAAGTGCCTGCAGCCGTTAGCCCAGCAGCTTGGTGTACTAACTACAGAGCAAAGTACGCAAGCTGCAAATGTTTCCTACATTGTTAATTTGTGATATACAGAGAGAAAGAGAGAGGCTAGATCACAGCCCTGTGTACTAACCAGCAATTTTCTCTCCTCCTCCAGCAGCCCCTTCAATGACCGGCCAATGTGCAGGATCTGCCATGAGGGCAGCAGTCAGGAAGACCTGCTTTCCCCCTGTGAATGTACGGGGACCCTGGGGACTATTCACCGCAGCTGCCTGGAGCACTGGGAGTCGTCTTCAAACACCAGCTACTGTGAACTCTGCCACTTCAGGTTTGCAGTGGAGCGCAAACCCAGGCCATTGATGGAGGTCAGTACATGGGGCACGTCCCCAAAAGCTTGGCTTTAATGAGCAAATCATGTTTGTTTTTATATAGCCTTTGCAGCTCCACTGAAGCCAAAGCAAGCTGTGAGTTTTGGGCTTGGCAAGATGAGGGCAGGGGCTCAGGGAAAGGGCAGGAATAACAAAACCCTTATTCTAACCAAATCAAAACAAGCGAGAAGAATGGGATCGATGGATTTGCTTCCCTGTAAATGTGAGTGAAGATCTGGGGGACAGTGTGCAGCGAATTCCTAGTATACCAGCGAGCTTGGTAGAGGATGGAAGAGAGGTAAGTAACAGTTTCTGTGGAATGCGAGACAAGCATCAGTATGCAGCATATTAAACATGTCAGGAATATTTTTCTTCTTGCTTTTGAGAGAGAGGTAACAAACCGAGGAGCCTTAGAAACCTAGTTTCCATGTCCAGCCCACAAGAAGGAATTGTTCTTGCTCAGTGTCTGGTATGTTTAGCCGTTTGTGAGTGACCTTTTGGCCTCCTCTTGCCTGTGTACCAGACTCAACAGTGAATTGGACAATTGTTTCTCCCTTATCAATTAAAATTCAGTTTTGCCAACTATCTATGCTTTAGTGGCTGCATGAAGTTTGCCAGTTTGGGGTTTTTTTGTCCTCAGGAAAAGAAAAAAGAAAAAGAAAAAAAGCCAAGATCACTATCTTTACACTGTTAATGATCTTTCTTCTCCCCTATTTTAATTTGAAAAAAAATTGTAAAAATTATGGTTTGTGTTGGAATTAAAAGTGAATTACAAATAGTAACATTTTACAAAAGTAATGAGAAGCATCTTATTGTACCAGTTGGTGACACAGGTGCTTAGATGCTAAGCTTGGGTTCAGGACAACATGTCCTTCTTGTGCATCTTCATTATTCCTGTAAACTGTAGCAGAACTGGTTGAAGGAGGTACGGTATTAAAAATAAGGGGGAGGAGGGGCATCTTGTTTTGCTCTTACTCGCAGGTGAGAGGATACAGGATAAAATTGACTCCTGGGAAGTGGGTCAGGGGCCTGTGCAGAGAGGAGGTGAGCAGTTCTCATTGAAGACTACCAAAATTGCTTTACGCTGGATTAAGTTAGGCATGCACATTTTGTGTCTCGGCCTAAGGATATCTTCATTCTTCCTTAGGATCAGCAAAAAAGAGATACACGACACGGTATTTGGCACAAGACCTGTAGTCTTGTCAACCTTAACCAGAGCAAGCCTAGGCCAGCCGTGTTCGATTGCCTCTGGCTTGTTGTTTGGTGCTTCTAGCAGGACTCCAGCCTCTCCCAGGAAGCTGGTCCCAGTTTGAGAAATGCTGCTGTTAAGTGTTCTCAGGCTGTCAGCGACTGAGCAGCAAAATCTTTATGACTGACAAACTTCACATCCAGTGAAGGTGATAACATCTTCTTACAGCCAGCTGCTCTGAGCCTGCACCGAGCAGTTTTTGGTTGCAATTTTGGCATGAGGATGATGCCACTCTGAATTTGCCTTCTGAAAAGAAAGAGAAGTGATGCTGAGGCAGTGCAAAGTAAACAATTTGAGTTTAAAGTCCGGCTTCTTCAAGCTGTTCCCTTGCAACAGCTGCTCATGAGGCTTGCTTTGCACAAATGGGACGTGACATTGTTCAGAGCTAATGATGACTGAAGAAGTTGAAAGCGAAGCTAACCCTGCCCAGGCTGGGGGAGCTGGGTTGCTTGATCATTCCCTAATGAAGTGAGGCTTCTTTTTGGCAAAAGCAGTAATAAATAACAGCAACAACAACAATAATAATAACAATAATAATGATAAAGCTGACTTTTGTTTCTCAGCTGAGGACAAATGAGAAAACAACAACATAATAATAACAATAATAATGATAAAGCTGACTTTTGTTTCTCAGCTGAGGACAAATGAGAACCAGGTGCAAGAACATTTCTGAAACATAGTACACATTGTTAATTGAGTCTCTTTACTACCAAATCTTTTCTTGTTCTTCAGCTACCATACCCACAGTATTTTAGTGCAGTAATCAACAGCTACGTGCAGTTGCAGAAAAGGTCATAAAAAAGTGCAACTGACTTTTTTGAAGTCCTTTGTGATCTTATACAAGGAGTATGTTTTCAGTTTAGAAGGGAATTGAAGCTGTACTTTTAAAATTGAGAGCAGCAGAGACAAAGAGTAACTAAGATGAGTTGTATGCAAGGGGACAAATTAAGCAGAAAGATATCAGTCAAACTTCTTGATTTCTGTTAGTATAATTTGTTTGTCCCTAAAGTTTGTACTTACTTAATACACACTTTGAAATCCAAAGACCTCCCCATGCAAATAATTACAGCAAATCTGAAAGTTCCCAAAGCATGACTAAAGCAGATGCAAGTTGCCGGATTCCCCCATCCTCTGTGTCCTAAAAACACTGTCTGTCGCCACGTATTACCTAGAGTATGAGGGCATGGAGGGAGGTGTATCAGGGTATAGCAGGACCATCTTTCGCAAAAACCTGCTGTAATGTTTGGGTGAGTGACAAGCCAGAGTGGCCACCTGCTTTTAACTCCATCATGTGTGTGTTTTTGTGTGTGTGTGTGTG